CATTTGATTCTTTTTCAATTCATAGTATATGGATAAAAGTTAAAACTAAAATTTTTGGTCAGCAGTTGCTGGTTATCAGTGGTGTCACACTTTTTTTTTTTTTTTACCAGGACACTGTCTGGCAATTTTGATGTTTGATGTTTTCTAAAATTAAACAAAAGACTGACTGAGTAAAATGTTTTCTAAAATCAAATTGCATCCTTTTCAAAGTATATTGACAAATATTAAGATGGATCTACAGTCTGGATGAGTAAGATACCTCTACAGCAAACAATAGCAACTGAGAAGAAAATGCAATCATTTTTTTTTTTTTCCTCAAATGTGTTGATTTCATCAGTTCCAAAATTTGTTTAACACAAAATAAAGTCCAGCTTTCCACATAAACTGTGTAGAATCAAGAAGCGAATAAAAGCCCATCTTAATTATTTTCTTTTAAACTTAATATCATCCTGGATGGTGGCGCTGACTTTGGGTTTGATAAAACCCAGTGGACTAAGAACAGATAGACGAGATTTCTCTGGCAATTGTCAATGACTTGAATGACTTGAGGCATAATAAGCTTTTGCTTGATCACACTAAATCTTGATTTTCAAATTAAATGCAAGATTTTCTTTTATTAAAATAAATGACTGTTGACCCCTGCCGACGTCTCTATTAGCCTTGTAAAAGGAATGAAACTATTGTGGTTCATGTGCTGGATCATTGTGTGCCTGGAGTAAGTGACTCTGGCCACATTCATGATTTCCTTCTTTGCATCATTTTCCTCTGATTGGCTGCAGCTTTCTGCAAAGTTTTTATAACTTACTAACCTCTTTTACCTTTCACTTTTCCATCACACAATATGTTGTAGTAGAGCAGCTGTCTCAGCTGGATAAGCATGTAGTGACAATGGACAGTCACTTGCATTGTATTGTTGACTTACCAGAAATCGCTCACACGCTGGTACTGGAGAACATCTAGTGATCATTCACAAAATTAAAGACTCAATCTTTCCAAGATGGTTAAACACTAATACCACTCTCCGCATTATCTTGCACCATTGTTGTTATCAGGGCCGTCACTACGTTTGAGAGACATGGGTGGCTTAGCCCCTAGGTAAGATATTGCGCGCGCGTAGCGCGCGCCGAAATTTTTTCAGTGCACTTTCTAAGGCGCTGTCTATAAATTCATTATTTTAAGAGCAACATACCTGGGAAACACTTCCCTCACTAATGCTACTTCACCAACTAAACTACACCAGTTAAAATGTGCTAAATTACAAAGAGTAAATGGTAGGTGCCATGCATTACTGCATAAATGGAAGAAGGCAAGTGGTTCGCCACTCATCATAATGGAAACCTTCTACAGAAGACAGTTGTCTAACCAACAGACTCCCAACATCTTCATAAACCCTTAACCTGGCCATTCATCTTTCCCCATCTCCCCTGCACCCACAACCTGTCAGGAACCCCTGTCTGCTTTGCAATAACCCTGTTTCTGTGTGTGTGCTTGGTGTGTGTGTGTGACCTGGACTTTGGCATGTCTTTCTCTACACCTGGCACAGAGAGAAACACATATATGTGAGGAACTTAACAATAAATGCAGCATTATCTTTGATAGATTTCTGCTTAATCTAAAGTTTAACCACAAAATACAAGTTGCATAAATGGACAGTAGGCAATAGGCAATAGCATCATTGCAAAGAAGGATATCCTTGAGACTTTTTCACATCAGTCTGACAAAGTTTTAATGCAAATAAAGGAAGTATTTTTAAGTACAATGTATTAATGAAAACACAAAATCAACAGTATATGAAACGTACAACTTAGAACTATAGTCAACCCAAGGAAGCACTACCATATCACACAGTGTCGCCCTATCAGACTGGTGGCACATAGATATGGGAGAATTATCCTGCCATAATGCAAGAGCACATAACTTCAATTAGAGAAAAGAATTTCATCTTCTTGCACTCAAAACTTATAATGCTCACACTCAAAACATGCGCTCTCTCTCAAATATTTTCTCTTCTCTCAAAAATCTTTGTTTCTTCTCTCAGATTTAAACAGATATTTTCTATATTATCACAGATATTTTTTCCTCTCGCTTGCCTCCATCTCCGCTCTGCACGGGTCTCAGTTACGCTCTGCTTGCGGATTTGTTTTGCTCTCTCAGACTGCAGTTGGATCGTTGCCTAGCAACCTTTCCAGCCAATAGAACGACAGCCTCGGAAAAGGTGCGCTTGTTTAACCCTACGGAGTGTGCCTGTGCTACTACGCCACTTATAAAGCGTCAGCTGAAACTGCTATTTACAGTAGTTTTGTGGCTGATTGTTGTTTAGAAATAGAAAACCTGGTTTCATTTCTTAGTTTTGCCCTGGATTTTGTAGCGTTTGTGGACGCTACGTCGCTACTTGATCAAAACAATAACGTCGCTACAGGAAAGTTACTTGATAAATAAAGCAGCGACGCTACGGTCAAGCTACTTGAAAATGTAGTTAAACTAATAGCTTCGCTACATGTAGCGGCGCTACTGCCCATCACTGCTCCTGTGACAAAACTATTATAATGATGCTAGTAGGCTACAACAACATCGTGTTTTCCCACACCACTGACTTTGTTCACCATGGTAACGTAATTCCTACTGAATCAGACAAGCTATTAGGCCTATATTGTCTCTTTCCTCACTCCAGGTAAAGTGAAGAAAATGTAAACCGCTGACATCAAATGGCAAACTCACCGTATGTATCTGCACGCAACCATAACTTTCCTAATCAAGCTCGATGACTGTGTGGAGATTCAAAGGGCGCGCTGTTGCTGCACTGCACAGCTGCTATGGTCCAGTTGATGGCCGTGTACCACGTGACGTGACGCTGGACGCGGAGCCAATGAAGGAAATGAATATCCTAACGATATTAATAATTGTATAAATAATTGTGTTTGTAAATAAACTAACAGGAACTTATCTTCAGATTAACTTGCCTTCTTGGTGGCTCGTTTTCAGTGCTTTACTGCAATTGTTTGGGGTTATATGGAAAAAAAATCAATAAATAAAAAAATAACAATAAAAATCGCAAAATAATTATGGGGTGGCTAATACCAACGAAGGGATGACTTCAGCCACCCTAAAATAGGTCTAGCCACGTCCCTGGTTGTTATTCTTGCCTCTTCTGCGTAGCAAGATTCAAAAGAGTGACCTTTGTCAGGTATTAATGACGTTTAGGTTGGATGAATGCGACCTGGCCATTCAGACACAGGTCGCATTTGAAAAGATCTGATTCGTATTGGATTCAGGACCACATAGCCAAGCGGCCTGGGTCGCATTGGAAAAAAATCGGATCTGTGTTGTTCAGACAGCCATGAAAAGATCAGGTCGCATATGGCCAAAAAAAAAAAATCGGATTTGGGTCACTTCAGGCTGCGGTGTGAACGTAGCCTTAGACATAACTATTGAGCTTCTGAAATCCTTTCCTGCCTATGCTCTGTCCACTCAAACCATACATTGTGCGTGAAAAAGTTGTTCCTACTCCTCCTGGTTCTGCTTGAGGTTTCTCCCAGTTAAAGCAGAGCTCTCCTCTCCACTGTCGCCATATGTATGACTATCATTCATGCTTACTTCCGTAAACACAGAGCACGCTCGCCTGTGACGTCATGACGTCCTCTACTGTCATGCTGGACACTTAGGTTGTATGACTGCAGTTCACACAGGAGATCACATACAAGTCGCATGTATTTTGAAATGTGAACAGCAATGCAAAAAAATTGGATTTCACAAAAAAAATCGGAATTGAGTGTCAAGGCCTGCAGTGTGAACTTAGCCTAAGAGACAGAATTAACCATCCTAAGACAGGACCAAAGGTATCTTCTGAGGAGATAAGGCTGCCAGGAATTGCAGTGCAGCCAAGATTCCACTACAGCAGAATGCCAGGCAAGAGGTAGCTACTGTTGAGACAAAGCATGGGGGGAAATTATTGACAGGGGTCACTAAGGTTAAAGTGATTTCATCTAAGGGTGTGCAGGTGGCACAGTGGTCAGTGCGCATGACCCATGTACGGAGTTGTTAGTCCTCGATGTGGATTTGAATCCAGCCTGAGGTCCTTTGCCACATGTTTCTGTTTTCTACTGTTAGAAAAGCGTGCCACTAGTGCCAAAGGAACTGAAAAGTGATTTAATCTCAACCACAGAAACATCAATGGTTAGAGAGGGATAAAGGAAGACATGGAACGGTCTAAGGTACTGGTACCAAACAGAAGAGACCAATTTAAACACCACCAATAGTTTTTATTGCTAAAACTCTTTCTAACTGTGACATAATAATCAAAATAATCATAATCCTTTTCTTTTTTTTTGAAGGACTATTAAAATTTCGTAAAAAAAAAAACAGGAGTCTGACTATAGTTGGATCTGCAACACAAACTCCTAACTTTAAAGGTACAACAAGTTAAAGATGGATTTATACTTGTGAAGACTCATTCTTGTGGTGTTACCTAAATGTAAAGGTTAATCTTACTACTATTTATAAAAAAAAAGCTCATGGTCTGAGTCTGTATAAGCCTAAGATTGCTGTTGGTGCCTTTCTTGTAGATGAAGGTCTGTTTTAGAATGTAATGCAGAGGTTCTACAGTTTTACAAATGATTCTATGATTATAGCTACTGTTAATATTTGTTGTGTAAAGGCACACTACAGTTTGTCAACACTTTATTACTCTTAACAAGATTTGAATGATCTGCATGTATGGATTTTCCCAGTCATGCTACCGTTAGGTTTAGGCCTTTACCGGAACCAATGTACACCAACGTCTTGCATGGTTTTGTCTTTAGAGCTAATCAAATTTTCCATCACACAGTACAATTCCTATTATTTAAAGTCCATTCAGAGAAAAATAAAGGAAAATGTAGGCTGTTTGGAGCACTGAGTGAGGAAGAGATCCCCCATCTGTTGTAAGCTGCTGTATGTCTGCTGGACCAAGACAAAGTTACGATATCTTTCTTTGCTGAAGGAAAAAAATCGGAAACAAGTGCTGAAAAGTAAGAAAAGTCACTTTTATTAACATAGCCTCTCAGTTAAGTAGCTGACTGCAGACTTGCTGCCTAACTAGTAAATGTCAGCAGCAAAAGATGTCTAATGTTCTGCACAATTAGCACATGAAAACTACAGCTACATTTATCTGGTATTTAGACCATACATTTGCTCAAGCCTACATGTGAAAAATCTAATTAACAGTAGAGAAATGTTAATCATAAAAACGCATTGTACATTCATGTATAAATCCATCCATTCATTAACTATACCCACAGATCCTTGCTAGGTTTATTCATTGCAAGAAGGAAACAAATGAAGAACACTGCAGAGCAACCCTGCTCCAGTTTCCTGCATGTTTTAGGCGTCTTGCTGCCACACACCTGAGTGTGATTAACAGGCTCCTATTGCTACTGACGACAAGCAGACGAGGTCTTTATGCAGGAGCAATGATACATGCAGAAAAACATGCAGGACAGTGGTGCTTGAGGACCGGGCTAGTCATGGTCCTATCAGGCCTATTTAACTCTCTATATGCAGGGGGTTAAACTATGGACAAACATAGATTAACTGCATTTTCAGATACTTTCAGATCTTTTTAAAGCTGCATGTAAAATATGGGAGGGTCCAGAACGAATCCACTGCTTGGGTCACTGGCATACTCTTGTAAAGATGGCGGTAATGTCAGCACAGGCTGTTCCTGAGGTCGACTGCTGCTCCTGGTGCTGGTGGCTTTTTTGTGTTCCTCCTCCTCTTCGTCGTTTAATCCCACCGGCAGAGGGTTACTGTAGATGTAGTAGACCCTAGAGTTGTCCCTCGCAGCCTCTGGTCTCCTGAAGAACGCGAGAGGGTTGACGAAACTAGTTGACCGCTTCAAGGCTTTGACCGCCACAGGATGTTCCGGCTCACCATGCGTCACAGCGCTCTCATAGACATGGGCTCTCTTTGACTGCCTGGTAAAAATCAGATTTAAAAGGTATTACAGTTACCCTGTTATTTGCTTTCAGACTCTGATCATTTTGATATTTTATACGTCTTAATATCATACCAAGACCATCATTGTAAATACAAAAAAATTGTTTTAGATAACCATTCTATTTAAGAAAAAAAAGCTATCCAAACCAACCTAGTCCTATGTTAAAAAGTATTAGCCTCCTTTATTCAACCTGTAATTCAAGCAAAAGAGGATTTCTATTTTATATGTAAGACTAAAGCAGTATAACTAATGATGTTGATGATGAATGTTTTATCTGGAATAAAACCACCCCTGCATTTCTAAAAAAAAAAAAAAATAAAAGCATTGTACCAATAGCCAAACAGTGGTGAAGTGATGGGAAGGGAATCGCTCTGTTTCTTCATTACTTGGATAAACCATGAATTCTGCTTTTAACCTAAAGGGGAACCCCATGTGTATTATGCAGAGTGACAATGAAGTAAGCATGCTTAGTGTGGGGGATTGTATTTGAGTCAATGAGTCAATGCAATCAACTGGTTTTCCTTAGATAGAAAACTTTGTATCAATTTGACTGTATGATCTGGTTGAACTGTAAAGTGCCTTGAGATGACATGTTTTGTGAATTTGGCGCTATATAAATAAACTGAATTGAATTGAAATTAAGCATCAGAATGGCTTATAAAAGCCAACATGTTTTGGAGTGGCCTAGTCAAAGTCAGGAATTAAATCTGACTGAGAAGCTGTGTTGGGCTGCTTATGCTCAAACTCCTTCCTTCTGTATTTAACAAAATTAACCAAATTTTGAAAACAGCAGCAGGCTGATATTCTTGTACAGAAATAAAAGCAGCGAAATTCTGCATTTGATACTGTTAGATTGCAATTAGTTTCCCACAAAATTTCCATTAAATGGATTTGTGGTCCTGGTGTTACCTCTGAGCGCAGGTGTTGTGAAGATGGCTGCAAACACCTACAGTAAATAAACCTCCAACAACTGCCACACTGGTCCCTCAGCAGGAACCTTAACCCCAAGATCGCACCATGGGGTTAATGCAGAGACACACTTTGTTGAAGTGTACATTTCAATCTGATTTAAATAGGATCAAGTTCCTTAGAATAGATTTAGTCCTTGATAAATAACATATTCTTTCAATAGTTTATTTTTTTCTGTTGAAGTTTCAGCTTCATTTACAAAATCTGTTTGAGATCTTTGAGATCCCGCATTTTACAGGAACCAAACATCCAAAAACAGAGTAAATCTACAAGAGGGACTGTTTATTTCTGTATATCCCTTTCTATTGATGAAGTCTTACCAAACTTTGTTCAAGCCTGATCAATACTGTCAAATTAACCTAAACCTGAATAAAAGATTTCTGCAGAAGTTAGTGGGTTTGTCCCACTTTTATAAAACGGGATTTAGAAGAAGGGTTAGAGTTTGTTCAATGATTGTTTAAATTGAAATTAGAAACTCTGTATACATTTCTTTAATTATCTCCTTGATATTAAAAGCTTTCCTTTAATATTAACATTCAAACCTGAAAGGTGAATCTATTTTTTCCCCATAGGATACCCTGTTCGCTGGGGAACAACCTGAGTGTAGGTTGTTTAAATTGATGAGCTGGAGCTAAAGATTCAGCATCATCAGTGTATTATTCTAAAAGATCATCTGCAGTTGAACATTGTAAGGTTTTGAGAGGAATGTCTCTCAGAGGTGGGAGATGTGGAGCCATTACATCATCTCCATGTTGTGTATTTGTTCTGCTCATCCATTGAACCAAGTGAGTCTAACCTGCACAGTTAACAGTGCAGGTTGGACTCACCTGGTTTGGTGGCTGGGCAGAACAAATGCATGACCTGGAGATGACTTGTTGACTCTACATCTCCCACCTCGGATGTCTCATGCTGACCTGCTGCGGCTGTAGCAGATGCTGATGCAGTAGAGGCCAGTAGCAGTGAGGATGAACAAGGCCAGAACCAAGATGACGATATTTAACACTCTGACTTCTGGGTAGAATAGAACACAAAAACCAGCTCTGAACATTTCACAATAGCTGATCTGTTATAAATAAATTTGGTACATGTGTCACCCACCAGTCAGTGGCCTGTTCACCTCTCGATTCTGTGGATCCAAAGCCGTCGTCCAGTTCAGATGGAGGCTCTCTGCCATCAGGGCTCCGTCCTCTTGGGCTCCACTCATTATGCTGCCGTCAACATCTAAAACTGGGAAAGAAGACTCCTCTGAGCCTCTTCTCATCAGATTCAAGAGAGCTCCCAAACCATGTGACTCAAACGGTTTGACCGCTGCCATGGAGACACCCTCCATCTTTTGTAAGCTTTAGTTGGACACCCCCATTTCTGCCAGCCTGCAGCCTCGGCTTGTTTACTGCTCATTATTCTCTGCAGCTTTCTGGGGGTATGTAGAGGGGAGGGAGATGCTATGCTTGTTATATTGTAATAAGCTTTGAATGGTGACCCAGAACCAGTTAGTTTGCATGCTTTCATCCACATAAATAAAAAAAGTATAGCATAGAAAGGCATGTACAGGGGCTTTGTGTATTCTAGAAAAGTTTGTGTAGCATATGCATTCAAATTTTCTACTTATGCATTCATAAAAAGACAAATAAAGCAAAGCCTTGCAGTTAAACTCCCTGTATAATAAAATCCTTTTCAGATCTAAGTACTTCTATGAAGCAGCATGTGCCAATCAACCAAGCTGCTCTTTCTGAAATTGAAGACTCAGCCACACATTGAATTGTTTTTTACTCCTAAAGAAACTTGCGGTACAGTTTCACAAACTCTAAGGATCTATGGTTCAGTGGCTTCAAAAAGCTGCAACAAGGCGGGGAGCAAGTCAACAAAAACAACTTTTTTCTTTCTGCTCCAGGTCATGCTGCACCATGACTGATGTTATGTAATAAAACAAAGGATGTTTGTAGATCGGTTTTAGAAGAGCAGCTGCCGCACAAAGTGAATCAGGACTGAGCTTTAAGTACTGCTAAAATATTTGTGCTAAAGAAATCTTCTCAGCTCACTTTATACAGGACAGTCCACAGGAACAAAGAAACAAAACAGAGCTGCTAAGAATAAATGCTGAACAAGTGAGCTATCAGAATATAAATATATAGAAAATAGAACCTGTCAATTCTATACTTTTAATCTCTGACCCTATTTCTAATATAAATCTAATCTAATATTATTCAAAATTAACCTCAAGTACAAAACCTACTTGTTCAAGTAATTATCTATAAAATAAAGTTGAAGCCAAGATGACTTCAGAAAATTTCATTATACATAAAACTTCCATTATTTAAAGAGCTGAGTCATAGAAAAAAAAAAAAAAACTTTTTTCTTAAAGCTACAGTGTGTAATTATTACAGGGATATACAGTCAGAAATTTAATATATTATACATAACTATGTTATTTATCATCATCTACGAGCTCAGCCTCTTAAAGCTGCAGTCTGTAACATTGAGGAGAGAGCAGACTTCGACTGAAAATTTGAAGAAAAACAGGTTTCACGCCACTCCCCCACCCTCTCTGCTTCACTCATGCCCCACCTCCAAGCTCCACCCCTCTCACAGCATCTGCGCGGCTACCGCATGCGACCAGAAAGGGGGGGGGGGGAATTCAGCGTGTGTGAGCTGTGATTGACACTCCATCAGACGCTCCTCTGGCTGTGATTGGTTGTTTTGACTCGTCCCGAATTATTCTTTCCAGATTGAAATACAGGCAGTAGGCGGTACCAATTGAAGCAGTTTTTTTCACAGGTTACATATCACATGTACTGCTGTCTGGGCATAGGGACAGTTTTAGCCAATATGACAAAAAAGTGATTTTTAAAAACTTACAGACTTCAGCTTTAACCTTAATATTTGCGTTGCCTTAGAATTTGTTATTTATAATTACATAGGAGCGGGTCTCGCAGCCACGGAGGCAGACATCTTTGCGCTACGGCAGCGCAGAGCCAACAAACTAGCGATTGCGAGATCGCCCATTACAATAACATGCTGCGTGATGATGCTGTTACTCTCCAGTATACTTATTCAGCAACGTCCCTGACGTTTCACAGGTAATGATTCAGTAATTTTCTGTAAAATAATTTTCTGGATATATACCTCGCTTACTTCTCTCCGGCTCCTTTGGAGATCTTCAAGCCTTTCCTCCTCTGCTCTAGTCACCCCGCTGGCACCTCTCCCTCGCCTGGCCCTGGCTGCACGCCCACCCCGGCCTCTCTGCCCTCTTCCTCGCCCTCTTCCTTTCCCTCTTCCTCGCCTTGTAACCCCCGTGCCACAAACAAGACTTGGACTCTGTAAACGGGGAATATATATTCTTCCAGCTAACACAATCTCGCTGTTAAACTAATGACTACAATTACTTCGTCTGTTTATATCACCATGCAAAGCAGCTCACCAAAACGTCACAACAATGTAGAAAAAATAACGGGTATAATTATTATCTTAAGTCTACATGAAATCTATACCCTACACAGACTAATGAAATACTATCTGTAAAATTATCTATGTAAACAAACCTCATCACTTGAGAAGGTAGATGATGCGGACGTCGTGGAAGACATTTTGTCCCGTAACGCTCGCCGTACTGTTGGGGGGGAGAAGCAGTGGGAGGGAGATGTTCATGTTGCTGCGGTCTGCAGTCTGGACGTTAGATGTCGCTGAAAATTATACACTGTAGCTAATTTTTTTACAACATTGTAGTAATTATTTTAATGTGTAAATATGTTCAAATTAGATTTCATTTAAAAAATTTTTTTTTGGTCAAACCAGAGGCTCATTGTTAAGATTAAGAAGAGGTTTAATTTGAAGATGTTTCTTTTATATACAAAACTGTCTTACCTTTTCTATCCACTAGATGGCACCGCTGTATTCAAATGGCACTTTTTTCAGACCAAATTTTTGTTTCCAAACTCCTAAAAAAACGTTTCATTTTGCACCAAAAACAAAGTTTTTTGAAAATTGTCCTTAAATTATCTTATTATTTTTTAGATCATTATAAATATGAAGTTTTTACGCTGATGCTCATGTATTAAAAGGAGTAATGATCTAAAGATAACATTTACATAGTATTGTAGTGCCCTTTGCAGAAGGACAAACAGATCCAGAGTAATTAGCACATCTATGTGTTGGTGTTCTATAAAGATTAACTGCAGTTACACCAGTGCTGTGACTAATGTTTACTGTGTTCTATTCTCAGGACTTTATAGAGTGTGAAAACATGATAGGGGCAGTACTTGGATGCAGCTGTTAGCACCACTCTACTGCTGCAACAAGGTTCAAATCCCTTCTGCATAGTGCTAGAATGACCCCACTGATGGGCTCTTTTAAATTCAACAGAAGCAACACAATGACCGGCGCGCTGAGTGACGAATGGTCCACACTTACATCCTTCTGCTAACCTAAACATCATTAACCCCCATCATGCACTTTGATTCTCAACTGTCATATTTCAAAGTTCATTAAAATAGCTTACAGGTCCTTCTGTGCTCATAAAGACATGTGAGTCTAATTGCTGGTGTATTCTGTGTCACTGTTTCTACCCGTCAAGAACTTGATAATAAGAAAAACCCCAAAAAGTCAAGTTTGTATTTCTTTTAATTAGCTTTAAAACAGGAAGAAACTAAACAATGTTTGCATCATGAGCACTTTATAATTTCGGAGTTTTTACACGCTTCTGTTAAAAACAAATAAATGTTTGAAAGATAATGCTACACTAAAGATAGTAATTAATCAGGAAGTAGCAGTGCCTGGAGAGAACCCATGCATGCACAGGCAGAAACAACCCAGGCGTGGATTTGAACCTAGGACCCTCTTGCAGCAGTGACACCAACTACTGTGCAGCCATAATGTAAATAACAACAAGAATGATAAAAATAACAACTGTTAGTACATTGATGTAAGTACGTAATAAAAAATTAAGCATTTATAATATCACATGATATAACAAATAGCAAAAATTGCAACATCTGATGTCTCACCTTGAAAACTTAGATACATTTAAATACACATCCACACACATACTGAACATAATTATATTGAATATCATATGCATCTACAGTAAGTTGGATGCCCCATTAGTTTGGATTTCTGCATCAGGTTAGTTTCCTAACGAGCTGCAGTAACGCCAATATTGTGATTGGATATCCTGATCCAATTCATAATCGTTTTATTATGATACTAAAATTCTACATTAACGATGCTGAAAACTCCTGATTGCATATATAAGTGGAGCTTAATAACCAGACTCCCATAGGGGAGCACTAGCAAGCTGTCCAAAACAAAACAAAAAAAGGCAGCAAGGCTGAAAACAGCCTTTAGGCCTCTACACTGAAGGTCTTGAAGGCTCCTATTAAAAAAAGCAAGGGGCACATTCATACACATACACTAACTAATCACAGCAGAATGGTACAATTGATTTATAATTTGCTATTAGTGTTTTATAACTGAAATACAGTAGGAAAATATCTCGCATATCAAATCACATTTTTGGCTAAAGCTACCAGGGATGTTATAACACGGGTACACCTCATAATAAAACTCATATCTTGTTTTTGGTCCCCTGTCTTAATAAAAGGCGATGACAGTTTTCAGGCAAAAGATGATAGGAGGAGACCAGGAAAGACAGTTGTAATGTAACACCCCGAGCTGATGACCCCGCCAACCCGGGCAGAGAACTGCTTTCCTCCATAGTGGCTGATATAAGAGGCTCCTCTGAGCTTCTCATCATCCAGACAGTTACCAAACGGAAAGTAGCGATGTGATGACAGGAGATGTTTTTCGATTCTTTAGATTCTTCCAAAGTTAACGTCCTGCCTGAAAAAAACGTATTGAAATGTCAGATTGTCATTACTGGCAAACATCATGAATAGATCATTATACAGCTTGATTCAGGAGAGATATAATAAAGAACTTGATGGGTGTAATTTGTGGCAATTCTAGGGCAACTTTAACAGTTTTTTCATGGGTGCAAAGAACAAAAGAATGAAATAAAATTAGACAAGGCAAAATTTCATCTTTCAACCAACATGTTACAGACCGCTGGTCTAACAGGTAATCCTATCTGAGTATAGCTGAAGCTAAAAGTGCAATATCTTAACTGCTAAATCACTATTTGAGGAAAACTGTAAAAGTAAGACATAAACATGGTGAAGGTGACCAGTCAGTCATGGTTTCTCTGCCAGCTCCAGGGGGAGTGGTAGCTTGATTAGAGTAGAGTAGAAGATCTAAGAAGGTTGAAAGCCCTGCTGTTATTTTTGGAAACCATGTCTCTCTCATGACACTTATCAGATAAATGAATCTGTATTTCCAGTCTTAGTCTGAAAGGTTTTTGGATCCCTCTAAATTCAACAGGATTAATACACATGATCACTTAAAACAGTGGTTATCAATCTAATTAACGGTAGGCTCCCCTTAATGCTCCTTCCCAGCCTCCATGCATTGCAGTGGAGGCAGGGGTGCCAAAATGCTAAAATAAAAACTTTACAGATTGATCCCTTTTTTTTTTTAATTCAAAATGTAAATCTTTTTTTTGTTCAAAATTTTTTAAAGTTAATAATTTTAGAGACTTCTATCAGAACAGACTTTATGTAACTTCAATAAAACAAGACATCTTAATTTCCTCCCAAATAATCTTGCAAGCTTTTATTGCAGTTTGGGTGCGCATGCATACAGATAATGTCTGTATTAAAATGCTGATTTGAGGATCTTAAGATCCACTGGATGTTGTTCAATAAAGTATTTTGCTCAATTTTAAGTGCAAACACACTTTCAAAAGTCCGACATACGTGAAAAAAGATAATGTTCCTCTGGATCATTTCAGTTTATTGTCACCTTGAAATATGCACAAGTCTATGCCCCCCCAGGATCTGTCCCTCAGCTTGGAACGGACCGCATTAAACATGAATCAGAGAGAAACAATACATATATATCAAATCAGCTGAGTGTAGATTTCCTCCACTAGGTGTCAGACTTGACTCATCCAAGGTTGATATTTGTGTCTGAAGGGCTGCTCTGTAGTTCTGACTTTAAGACTCTACTTGAACTCTGTGTATAACCAAAGGAGGCAACAAGTGATATGGGCTGATTGGGACTTTGTAGTAATCAAGAGGCTCAAAATTCCTAGTCTTTAAAATACCTTGAGAAGTTTGATTCCATACATATTATTTATATGGGATGGCGGCTGCATTCTGTTGGCGAGGTGCATTTATTTCAGCACAGCACACTGCATCAACCAATGCTGGCAGGTTTCTGGGGAATGTGAAAGAAATTGTTTCTAATCTCAGTTCTTAATAACTATTACATAGTTAGAATTTACGATGTAGAACTTTTGTTACTGCTATAATTGAAAGTTCTTGTACATACTAAATAATGATATTCTATTAAAGCTACCCATCAGCTCACGTTTTAAAAATGTAATAAGTAAAACAGATGCTGACACATCATGACTAAAAGAAAATTAAATGAACAGTTTAACCAACATCTCTCTGCAGGCTTCATCTGATTTCTGTGGGAGAGAAAACAATCATCAGTCCACGAAAGCATGAAGAGAAAACTGGTTTTTGCTCTGAAAGCCTTAAACTGCTGCTGAACCACCTGTTTTCTTTGAGGGATGTGAAGAAGGTAAAACAAATTTCTTACTCTAAAAATGTAAACACCTTTAAAGGCGAGACAGGGTCTTTTTTATATCAACTGTGCCTAATCACAGGAACAAAGGTTTTATACAAATTTAGAGGAAAAGGAAACTTTCCTGCATCCTTTCTCTTTCCTACACACACCCCAATAAATTAGAGCCACTCTGTGCAGCAAAAACCTGAAGTAGTTGTTTCCTGCTTCTCTCTGTTTCATCGGGTTTATAAAGGAATTATGGTCCGCTCCTCTAAATTCTACTGATTGTGGATGTGAATATTTTGCAGCTGTAGGATCATCAGAGCTGACCTGCATCCATCCTAGGTCTTTGCAGGCTTAGGAACAGATAAGAGCAATTGACCTCTGTCCGTGTTCTTCTCTTAAAAAAAAAAAAAAAAGCAACTTGCCTGCTTTTCATTTAAGAAAGAAGATTAGCTGTACAGTTTGTACATACTTTTATTGCCCTTATTATATTCTTATTTATTCCTAAAAAGTATTC